GATGTTTTCTTCAGGGGAAGGTGTTGAGCAAGATATAGATCGAGCCATGTTTTGGCTTAAAGAGGCGTGTGATCAAGGAGATCATTCATGTACCATTCTCTTTGGAATTATGCACTACTTTGGATTACATGATTGTGAGCTAGATTTGGAAAAAAGTAGACAATTTTTGGGAAAATTAGGTACTCAATTCGATGACAGATTTCTCAGTAAGGTAAATTCAAGCTGTTGTTGCAATGAATGTTTTGTGGAAGATTTTGGATTTAATTATGAATGTGCTAATTTATCATGTGATTTTGATTTATGCCAACGATGTTACGAGAATGGAGCTAAATGCAACAAATGTGGAAACTCAAAATTTGCCAAACACCACGCTTTACAACTTTTTGTTCCTTTGCTAAAGCAGTTAAATGAAAAACCAAAGCACACAAAATTGGAAACATTGATCAAACTCCTTGAATAAGTTACATTATAGTTTATTGAAAGTAAGTTTTTTATTAGAACCCAACTTTAAGTTTGTTCAGGGGGGCGGAAAGTTGGTATCAGCCGAGCGAAAATGTTGAGAATTGTCAAAGTGGTTCCAAGTCGATATATGTTTTTTCAATAAATATACAACTCTATACATCCAATAATCTGTTACAGTTCTATAAACACGTGAAGTTTCACAATATCGATTTTAATTCACATATTCACGTCTTGGTGTCTAGAATTTATTCACATAGATACTCTCAGGGTCGAGGATGATGTTTCCCAAAACTTTAGTAATTTGAAGACATTTCAGTACCAATATATATATTTCTCATCTTGGAATTATTCATTTCTGTGAAGTATTTATCGTAAACAGCATATTTTCAGAATTAAATTTTAAGCTAAAAACACATGCACTATTTAGGAAGTATTAAAAAAAATAAATACGATGAAATAAAAAAATAGCTTCTCTCAGTTACTTTTAAATTTCATAAAGTTCAATAATTGAACACATGACACCTTTAAAAGATTCCTTCGTTGTGGCTGGAGGATTTTTTGAACTATCTGTGTACGCTTGGTTTTGGTATGAAATTGAATGAGTGTGATGGCTAACTTTCGTTCTTAAGATAGAAGCAAAAAATAAAAAATACCTTCTGTCAAATCGCGATAATTCATGTAGTAATGATATATTCCAAATATCAAAGGTTGGAATTGTTTCTTCGATGTGGCAGATAATAATGTTTAATCTCAATCACAATTATTATGCATTTTTATTTACCAAAAACTTCCAAAAAATGGCAAAACCCTTTTGCTGTACTGTTTGTGGAGTTACGAAAAAAGTTGATTCTTAAAGCATTTCTGGCTAATAATCAGAAAGTTACTTTACAAGGTCTGAAACATGGCTTTGGTTTTGGTTGTTCAGAAAATTAAAAACTGGTTGTTTTTTGTTTATTTTTTCCTTTCTCACCATTTTTCTTCACTTTCCGCCCCCCTGAGTTTGTTAGCGTCTGTGGTGACAAGAATTGGTATCTCTATGAACACCAACTTCGAAATATTTTATCAAAAATATTGGATCAACATCAGGTACATCACGACTCTGTTGATTCTTGGAGTGATTTCACATCTATTACCTCCAAGAATTTCACCACATCATCTCATCATGATTTAAATAATAGTAATAATAGTAATTTTTGGAATTTATTCTTCATCATGATTTGGAAATTATTTTATTATTTGGAAAAATTCAAGTTGGTATTACATCATCGGAACAACTATAAACCAGCATCAATCCGATTATAACTACAATACTTCATAATTTACTATTCCGTTTGCTTCATCACCACAATGGTGATACTTAAATTTCATCAAGGCTTTTTCTTGATACATGAAATATTG